GTGTCAGGCCCGGACCCAGGGCCCCCCCCTCCCCCAGCCCCAGGCCCCCGAGCGCGCCTTGTCAGCGCGTAGTCTCTCAGCGCCGTGTGCAGGCGCCGCGGCTCGAGCGTGCCGATGCACCCGCGCAGGCGGGGCGGCGACGCCGGGGAGGAGGACGAGCTTTTGTTCCACGTCACAAATAGGGCGCTGGGGAGGGAAGGGTTGCCGGTCAACGGGGTTTGACCGCCGCCGGGCGGGCGATCTGAGGTGTTCGTTCTCCAATGCGCAGGGCACCTGGCTGCGCAGGGTGCAGCTGGACTGTGTCCCAGCTGCAAGCAGCACACCCTCCCAGAAGAAAGTTCAAAGCAGGGAGCTCCTGCCGCCAGCTAGTTGTGCCGGGCGGGCGCAGAGCGCGCGCACAGCGCTGCGCCGCGCTGCGTCATCGGGGCGGGCGCGGCAAGGGGGCGGGCAGCTTCCTCACCAGGTGCCGTCCTCAAAGGCCGGCTGCGGAAGGGGCTGGCCATTCAAGTGCGCTACCAAAGAATCGAAGCAGAACGCGCAGTGCTCCACAGTGGCGATGCCCGCGGCCGGCGACATGGGGCGCCCTGTGACCGTGCGCGCCGCCCCGCCCAAACACAGCGCTTCCTATAGTGCCCCGCCGCGTCTGTGAGCCTCGAGGCACGTCCGCTGCACCGCCGACGCCGAGACCTATGAATCTGCCTACTGCGTCTCCTAAGCCTACGTGCTCAGTAGGGGCTGCACCGCGGGAAGGACGAGTGCGTGGGAAGACAAGGTGATCAGAAGGCCTCGCGAGTGCTAACGTACGGGCGCGCAAGCGCGCTACCTCGCTATAGGTCTACGTATGAGGTCTGCCGTCCATACACGAGTTTGGGACGCTGACACTCGAGTGAGACAGTTCGTGCCCCCTGCACTCCTAATCCGAACGAGCAGCAGGGCTGTTTGTACACGTTGTACAAATAATAATCCTGCTTTCAGCTGGTGGCGCGCAGCTTGTGCATGTTGCATGTGTAGGGGTTCGACCGGGTGGTGTCAGCACAGAGGCCCCCAACTGATGTGGGGCACGGCAGCGCCAGAGGACACCACGGAGCGACAGTAGATTGGCCTCTACAGGGAGTGGGGAGTTTCCATATTTTGTGAAGATTGGGCTGTGATATGTGGGCTTGCAAAGCTTGGTGGTGCTCTCTGTGTGTAGTGGGAGGGGCAACCACAACGGGTTGAGCCCAGCAGGCCCAGGGAACCATGATTTTGGGGGGAAGGGGGGGGGAGGGTGCGCACTCGCAGCGAATTCATAGGGCCATGGCCTGCACCAGTATCTCCAGATATCAACGATGATGTCATAGCCTGCAGTATGCCTGTGCGCAGTATCTCCAGAAATCAACGATGATGTCATAGCCTGCAGTATGCCTATGCGCAGAGGGGCGGTTCGGTTGTGGAGCGGGCGCCATGGCCTGCGTGGATGACATCCTTGTCGTTTGACCCAACTTGACCAAGCCTTCGTGGGGCTGGCTTGTTCGTGGGGAGGGCGAGGGCACTATCCCATACCTGCCTGGGCGGGATGCGCAAAAGGCTAGCTCCCCTCTTCTGTTGGCTGCAATGGGATGGCCCCATCAATGCAGGCGCTCCTGTTAAGCTTTGCGTCTTCTTCTTCTTCTTTTTTCAGCAGCACGCATGTAGTGTTTACAGCCATGAGGAGCGCAGCGCGCCAGGGGCGCGCAATATGGCACAGCCGGTTGTGGAGCCAACAAGATTTGGATCCAACACTGTCACACCATCCTTGCTGTGTGTGCAACCTCAACGACAGCCACACTCGAGGGGGTGAAGGCCTAAGCTGTCAGACCTGCCTCAGCCCCCACGCGCTGCTCGTACGCAACCCAGCGCGCACGAGAGCTGGCAGCGACCATATTGAAAACCGTGCGCGCGAGCTGGTTGCTCGCCAGCGCCCCAAACGCGGTGGCGAGGTCCTCGCAGCGCTTGTCGTGCCTGCAGCCGTCTGCGTTGATGCTGTCGCTCGACGTCAGCAGGCGCGCCACCAGCGCCCTCTTCCGCTGGTTGGCCTTGGCGCCGCGGCTCTCGATGTTTATGGGGCAGTTGCTGATGGTCCGGATCTGCGCGAGCGCCTCGCGCGTCAGCGTGCCGACCTGTGTTTGGCACGCCGCCAAAGACGGCGGAGAATGCACGTACGTGATGGCCAGAGCTGAATGGGTCTGGTGCAGCGATACGGAGGACCAACATGCTGAAGGCCTCAACGGCGGCAACGCTTGGCTAGGGCGGGGGGGACTGTCGCCACTTGTGAGGGCGCTCGAGGCACGACTAAAAACCTGGTCCAAAGTCGCACCTTGTTCATTTCGCTTGTGATCTGCTGCAGCTCCACGATGTGGTCCGCGTGGCGGGAGGACTTGCGATCCACGCCCTGTAAGGCAAAGCCCCCTCGCCGGTCCGGACCTCCTGGGTGACCCAGGGGCCCTCCTCGGCGCCGGCGTCGTCGAGTGCCTGGGCGACGCGCCTCTGCAGCACGTTGAAGTGAATGCCGCAGTAGCCGCCGCAT